GTGCTCGACCGACCATCACCGTGTCTAGCACAGAACGCACAATGCACGGTATCTCAGCTGGATCGAAGCTCTTTTTCAATCGTTCGATCGCGACTCGAACAATACCGATACATCCGCGCAAATCGTACAGCAGAACGGAAACGTTTTGTTGAACTACGAGTAAGTACGAACCACACATGATCCACGGAGGTTCGAATTTTATTGCGTTTCTCACAATTAGGTGAATGGTAAAGTGACGCAACTGAAATCAATTTGGAAGAATTAATGAAATTTGAAGGACCAATTGAACCTAATTATCGAGTAATGAAACTGGAGATCTCTTATATGGGATTGCTTTTAATTATTGTGCTTTGCTTTGAAAAGAATGAAAGGAATCTTCTTAGAATTGGTTACATTAAATCGATTTTTATGTAAAAGAAAACAACATAAAATTTAGATAATTAGTTAGTAGAAAAATTAATTAAGCAATGATAAGATAATTATTAGAGTCGTCTGTAATTGAATCGATAGTAATAAGTAGTTGCAACTGATCACTTTACTAGTCTCCAGACTAACAAAGTATACATGGAATTTATAATATTTTTCCAGCCGGTCTAAACTAGAACTTGGCGATAATAGAAGTACTTAAAAAGGTCGGCAAGATAAAAGACAACTCATTGATTTTTGGGATAGCTCCAAATTGTAGGGAGACCGTTCCATAATCCACTTTGGCGAACGAAAGAGATTAGGGTTCACAAAGAGAGGTGGACGCTCTTTGTTTTGTTGCGCAAAAACCTGAATCTAAAGCGTGACGTCGTAGCTAGGGGAACAAAAGAGCATCTGTGTTTTTCGTTTCATGCGATTCTGAATCCCGACCAGCATCAATTTCATTTAAGAAATTGAATTATGCAATTCGGTTAAATACTTCAACATTGACACATTAGATCTAAAAATCCTTGTCCCAACAACAATAAATAATAACAACAATAAAGAATAAAGATTTAGGTAGAATCTTTCTAACACTCGGCTGTTTCTTTCTCCATTAAATAATATTTAATACATAATTCATTTTTTTACGATAACAATTCTCTTAATGTTAAAGCCCGTAATTAAGTAACTTCGTACAATTTCCAATGTTCCATTCCAATTCGTCACAAATGTAAAATATAGAACTGACGAAATAAATACTACAAAATGAATTACCATATCAGCAAACTGTTACGATCACCTATGACCTATGCGATCTACGAAAACCAGTTCAACTAATATTTCAATGTTTCAAAACGAACGATCTAGAAATTTTAATAATTCCAGAAATTAGTTTCCCCTAAGGAATTCGCTTGCTTAACGTTTAATTAGTCCTGTATAAATAGATAGAACCTCCGGCAAACCTCGTCATCATGCTCGAATAGTTTTCCCTCGTTGCATTAAATCGTCCATAACGATGTAATATTAAATAAATGTTTGGGAAAATCCCAGCGACGTTTACACTTACGCGAATATCGTGTGCGTTCACGGATAGATTTCAGAAGGCAGCCAAGCGAAATCTTGAAACGAAAGAGTAAGAATCGAACGCAGTGGGGCATGGGCGTTATAAAATAAGTGTATTATCACGTAAACGGATATGCCACGGAACCGTTACGATAACTCGTATATCGAAGATATATGCGTATACCGAGCACACCTTGAAAGGTAACTAGTGCGTTCGCGTTTCCCTCCAGACGAACATCTTTACGAGCATGTATCGTTTTTATCCCCTTTTTCTCCATATTATATATTTTATGAACCCCATTAACGATGGTAAAATTGCGGCTTCCGTTACGACATTGAGATCTTTGAAAACGCATATAAAGTACATATATACATATATATATGGATCCTTGTATATATATAATCTTTATTTTCGCTTGCCTTTTGGCTTCCCGGTGATCTCCGGTTTACATTGTACAAATATACACACGAGTATAGTAATAATCCAACAGTAATAATAACTGTGCTTAAAATTTCAGGTCTATGACTGGATAACAAACTAGCTGAATGTAGCTCTATAATATAACACTTTGCATCGCCTGTTCGCGTATAAAGAAGTATACTGGAGTTATAGGAACAGTATCGAATGGCTGATAAAGCTTATAAAGCTTGCTGAGCAATTAATCGAGAGAAGCTGTGACCTTTTTACGATGTAAGGAGACACTTTTTTTTTTATTGTGTTTACGCAATATCCGATATTAGTGGTCATTGGGGTTTTTTTTTATTTTTTAAGGAGAATTAATTAATTTGTTATTTTTTGGACAGAGTTAATCAATGGGAGTTATCCCGTGTATAACAAATAAATAAGTAAATTTCACTTTAATATTCTCGATACGTTTGAAAGTTGGCTTTTCTAAATACATATTTAGACAATGTTTATTCGATAACTTTGAAAATGTTGAATAAGTTGTCAGGTAAAATTAGATAAAATTGCAGCAGGAAATTTAGATTTCTATCTCGGGGCGATTGTAGAAGCTTTTCCGACTTTCGATATCTGATTTTCTCTAGTTTCATCTCTTTTGATACTTGATAGTTATAGATATAATAACTCTCGACCTACTTGGAGCAACATGGAAAAATCGATCGTTCTAAATTGTAATTTTGAAACTGGTCCGAGAATAATTCCTTTTTTATATAGATCCATAGATGCGCGGAAAATAAAAATATTCAATATATCTTCGTGTGACTATATAAACGAGGATAAAATTTTTACCGATTATGAATTATTCCATCATTCGTCCAAAGAAATCTAAGTCCAATTCTATCTTTTCTACAATTAAATATTCCTATTATTATTACTCTTATTCTTTATTTCCATTAGAAGCTCAGGTAATAAGCTGATTACAAATATAAATAAGAAAGTAATAATATTACAAAAGTGTATAAGCAGATATACAGAGTGTACCAATTTTGTATAGCTATACATTGCCAGTATATTCTACAGCTCACAGTATAAACATTTTCTTATTAACGCAAGATTAGCAGCGACAAAAAATTAAGTTTATTACCCTTTGAAGTTTTCGTTTATTACTCTTTCAAGTTGGCGTCGTAGAAATATTACGATACCGATCTGACTACTATTACTGCTAGATGTAAATATTCCTGATCTATTTGTACCGTAGTACTTTGTACCGTAGTAACGCGCGTCCGTTACCGTTCGTTTCGTATGTCATTTCCTTGTGACAACACTTTAACAATGCTTTCAACAACATGCATATGTTTATATGACATTTTTTTCTTATCTTGACAACATTTGGTTGGAAAGAACACCCGGTATTAGTAACAATATTTCTTCGATTCAGCGTTGGTTCGTACTATCCTTCTGCGATTAAATATTCTAAATAGTAAATTCTTAATTTCCTTTTCAAAACCTGTCTCTTTTGATAAATCTTAATCTGTTGCTATTTTATTAAAAATATTTAATATATATATATATATATATATATATATTAATCTAGATATTGCTATCTCTATAAATTGAAATACTTCTTGACTTCTTGGAGCTTCTCAAGTTCCATTTCGATAATCTTAATTTTCAAAAGTATCGAAAATTAACATCTATTTATATAATTCTGTTTCCACGAAGCCTTGACTTCCTTTCAAAGTTCAGTGGATTCAATGTTCGATTAATTCTCTCACTAGACATACGGTACGTGCTAATTTTATGAACGGACCGTCAGATCTGCGAAATAATTTCTCCGTCGAGAATTTCCTGAAACAAAATAACAAACAAGGGGAAGGATCGAACGAAAAAAAAGAAAAGGAAAGAATCGGCCATGAACACGATATAGTAGCGAGAAATTGTTTTGGCGCGATCGCGGGTTCTCTCCCGCAGTATTCGCGCGTTCGTTTCGTTTCCTTGCCACTAACTGAAGCGAATACACGCGAAGCAAGGTAGGAGATCCAGTTATACGCGGGCTGTGTTAAAGATACGCTCTGTAAGCAGAAACATAATCGCAAAGAGGCGAGGTATTACTGTTACAAAAGTTAAGGTCGCTATAAAACACGGCAGAACGAACGTTACGTAACATCGTATTTAGAAACTGGAAACCTCGTAGATTTTCAAAAGAACACCATCGTCTTATCGTTATTTCTATTAGAAAAAAATTATATCACCTTTAAAAAAAGAAAAAAGATTCGCAGATTACTTTCATGACAAATGTCGTATCCGATATTTTGTGAAATTAATGAAATTGATCATTTATAAGATTCTTTATAATTTGTGAGATGAACGAATATAAGATATTCTACGTTTGAAGCAACACAAAAATTAAAAGACTGTACTCTACGATATTATTTAAAAATTCACCGTACCTTGTAACTTTTAAACAGCTTCTTTATACGTACACAAATGCTTATTAAAGATATTCTCTTTGCGTATAAACCAACCATTAAGAAAGTCTTATTTATCTAGAAATAAAAAACCAGAATTTTCTTCTAAACCTTCCAACACCGCGATGACTTTCAAAAGAATCTAAATAAGAGTCAATTATACCGCAACGTCACCCTGTGAAAATATTCGCAAAGAAAGTTCACAGTTTCGATCCATTAGCAATATAAACCCATTAAAAAATTAGTAACGCACACGATGTTAAATCTGTTGATATTTTTCCTTTCGCGGTGCAAACTGCGCCTTGGTATCTCGGATTACCTCTGAATTAGCTTGCTATATCGTAATAACGATCTCGTTAGAGCTCGTCTCCTCCGTTTACTACATGTTCAACCCTCCCTATATTAAATTCGAATACGATATTAGCCTGTGCACCTGCACTTTTCCAAGCATTTCGTGCGCTTTTTTCTCCTTTTTCCTTTCTTTTCCTTTTTCATTACATGCAACGAAGAAACGTAGATTAAACCCTTCGTAGATTAGACTTCGACATTAGACTTTGCACGTGAATTTTCCAACCGTTTCACGGGTGTATTTCTCTCTTTTCTCTTCTTATTACTTGTTCTTTTTCAACGCAAAAATGACAAAAACGATAAAATTGCAGATGTCTTGGCAAAAGGTTTACCTCGCTGTTGGACTGTTCGGTGTTCTGTTGTTGCTGACGAATGCAGACAACAGCGTGCACATTCTGTCAAAGTATCAGCAATTAGTCACCTCGACCGCTCTGAACTGGCTTCCCCGTGCTTACTACGATTCATCCAAGGAAATAGTCATCGGCGGTTTTGCGATCGAAGAATCGGAAGGTACGTGCAACCAGACGAGAGAACTTAACAAAATATGGTCCTTTCTCTGGCAAGGTCGACCAGAAATTTTACGTTCAACGAAACTTTAATTTTATTCCCCGATCATCCTCATCGCTTTCTCTTTTTTAATTTAGTCTCGCTAAGCCACGCGTAGAAATACTTAAACGCACAGGACAGAAATTGATTTTTGGACCTTTTTCTTCGCCAGAAAGAAACCAAGTTAATGAGATGCACGATTTAGTCAACAACTTCTTTAAAACTAACTTTCGTCAGTTTATTTGATACGATAAATGATATAAAGTAAATTTCAAGACTTCTAACACACTTGTCTCTCTATTCGTCCCTTTTGCTTTTCTTTGACTGTCGATGAAAATACTTTTATGCCGATTCCGAATTACATTACTTCAATTACAACATACCACCGCGTACGTACAAAATGTCACAATGTTAAATTCTTGTGTTAATTTGAAACGAACTGAGACGATTTTAATTGTTATGCATGATGCAATGAGATGCAACGTGTGTTAACTTTTATCCAGTCTTTTCAGATCATTCCTCCTCAATTATGTACTAAGAATGAAATGACTAACGTATCGATCACCATGATTCCACCCAAATTAATTTGAAAAGCGAATATTTACAACTTACGTCGCATCTTCTTTTTTAATTGAGCGGTCTCTCCTCAGAAAACGTCTAAGCAAACATAAAACACCATCTAGCTTAATCATCCCCAGGCATCTAATGAGGCTATTGTACACCAGAGCAACGCATCACTCATACTCGGAAACCGAGGCCAGTTACATTCTCGTGTTAATTTCCCGTCGCCGCTAATTGTCGCTAAGCATCGTCTCGACATCATCTTCAAAAGGCTCATGAACGAACTTTTCTCGCCTACGTACCTGGCGCAGACGGTTTATCCCTTAACAATACAAATATACAATTGTCTGCACTTACATTTTCATCTTCTCGTCTACCCTGACTAGTCTGGCCTACCCTCTACTACCCTCTGTCTGTTTATTCGCGATAAGAATACAGTGGCTCATGAAAGTACTTGACACTCATCATAGACAGTTTTTATGTATACATAATACAGCATATATTATGAAGCATTTTGAAATACCATTAGCACTGTAATTATGGTTTAAACAATCCATAAATAAGTTTTCGTTCGCTTTTTAACACGTTACTTACATCTATATTGCAATGTTTCCAATATAATTTTTGCAGCTTGTATACTAAGTTTTATATAGAAATATAAAATATTTTAAATTAGGAAAAGGTATTTTTTTGAAAGTGATTATTAGTAATATTTAATAAATAATAATATAAATAATAAAATATTTTTTACACTAAGATACTATAAATTGTTTATTAAATGCATTGCTCTCTCCTAATCTTCTTCGTTGTACTGATTTAAAAAACAAGACTAAAGCCAGTAATCAAAATTAAGAAAAGTACCTAAACCGCGTAATTGCCCGTATTCGCCCCTTTAAATATATGTTCCAAAAACAGGTTCTTACGAGTGTCGGGATACTTTCGTCAGCTACTGTACCATACCGTAGATGTATTCTATATTCATTATATTCATTATTTTTTTTTATGTTCATTTTTTTCTCACAGACAACTCGTTCAACAATCAAGCGGAGAAATCGGAGAGAAGAAGGCCCCTGTACGTATGCAGAGTACTGCACACGGCCGTCTGGGTGGCTGGCAGTCAGAAGGGTGACGAGCAACGATGCACAGTGACGATTCACGGTAACGTGCAGTCGTACGACAAATACGACCTGTTAGAAAATGTGGACAGTGCTGCCCGCGTCAACTGGGAGCACTGGGACAAATACAAGAACACACCGGTTGGTGCCGTGGCCATGGAGAAGATGTTCATTGCGCGTCATCCCGCGAAAACTGACAAAAATGCCTCATCGCCGAGATACACCCATTATATCGGCACCTTGAATAAACGTATTCTTGGGAGTATCAGCTACGTGAAAGACGTAAGTAATTGCTCCGCGATTTACACTGAAAGAGCGGGGTGGGATCTACAGGGTGTTAATTCTCTCCCTTGGATCTAGTAAGAGCGACGCTTACTAAAGAGCGTAACGCTCGTAAGCTGGATTGCAAGGTGGTTGGTTAATGCAGGGTGGGAGATTAAACCGACGGGAAGGAGGAAGCGAAGGGTGCTCCTTCAACTGTGAGGTTGCGGTTGACAGGCGGTTGGGGGTGGTCTTTTTCTGTTGAAATGACGGATGATGGGGAAGACGAGTTTTAGGATTTGCGGTGAATTAATCTTCTCATATACGTATGTATGTATGTCTCGTGTATTTATGTGGGAACGGTTTTTCATCGTATGTTAAAATACAACGTGAACTTGTCAATTTCTAGATGGTATGATTCTTTAATATTATATTAATGGTACCGTGGGTGAATATTTGAAAATAATATAATTATGTTTTTAAATTGTATAATTGGAATTGAAAATAAAATACGTAAGATTGAAAGTACTTGAGAAGAATATAGGGAATATAATTCTTGCGAATATTGGAAGCTAATATGAGAATTATAATTGACGTAGTTATTCAAAGCACATATTTGTTGATAGGAATTTATTAAATACAGGAAAATCGAGTCACGATCACACAAGGATATAAAAATAAAACCGAACTTTCGAGTAGAGTCTTTAATTTAAATCTTTCTCGAGCGAATGTTCACCCCTGGTACCGATTAATAGTTAAGAATCAATATTGTATTAACGCGATATTCCATTTGCAATTTCTTTCAGTCAATTTATAGTACTGCATTATGCTTTTTGATATTATGGACGTGAGAAGGAACCTCAAGGATTTTTTTTCAATTTAATGATCAAATAATCCATATAATTCACACATAAAAATTTCTAAAAGTTATGCACGAAGGGATTAATGCGGATGTTGGAGAAAGTAGTCGATGAAATTTTAATCGGAGTTTGCGTGATTGGACGATGAATGGAATGACTTCGTTCATCGACTATTTAATTAATTGGTACATTGTTTAGATAAGGAGAACTCTATTTTGCCAGTAGTTGATCTTAGATTAACTACGCGTAACTTGCAATGAGTATTTCTTTTTCGAAATATGAACCAAGTGTATCTCAAATATTGAAATTTATTATTTTCAGAATTCTTCGCATAACGTTGTGGAAGGTATTATTTCTTCGAAATAGAAGTTAAGCTAGTTTCAATATTTGAACAAATCGATCGTTGATTTATATTTTATTCTATCTTGCAGAAAATAAATACGATTTCAGAGCAGCAGTAACTAGTAGCAATATTCTTATTCCTTCTAACAAGAACTCGAATATGTTCTCAGAATTAAAACCGACCAAATATTGGATTTTATTTTAATCCATGTTTCAATTAATACTTTTAAAGTATCTTAGGAAACCAATAACCCGCTGCGCTTTTATCTTTCTTAATAGGGTCACGGTACTATTAATAAAACATTATGACCTTTTTCCATTAGGATGGTACCGAAGAAACCGCGAAGGATGGCGATGTGCTAGTCGAGACGGAACCGACCTCCTACGATTTGGAAAACGTTAAATTGAATTGGCCTAAAATGCGAGTGGTTAATCGTACATCCCTTGAACTTGACAACGCGACTATCGTTAATGATGGAACGGAAAATGCGACAATAGCGAAAGCTTTTGGTTACAAGTACAAATATTCCATTTACTGGGGTCAAGGCCATGCCATACTAAAAGGCTTAAACACATCAATTAAATTGACGAACGGTACGGCTTTGTCGAATATAATGTGGGGCACAAAGGAAACTAGCAATAATACCGACATATACACGTAAGCATATTTTCCATATAGTTTGAAATCAGTTAACGCATAGTGTGTGGAAAGTCAGATGTATTAAATTTTTATAGGATTTATAATTCATATTTCGAACGATATCCGATCATTTATTATCAGAAAAAATATCTTACTGACATAATTTATCGTTATTTTGCTTATCGATTGAATGGCATTAATTGATACTTGAAAATTTCTGAAAAATGTTGAAAAGATAATTCCATTTATAGTAGATTCTTATGTTTTAAGTCGTTATTTTGTCGCAGTAAAATTATTATATAAATCTATATAAATATGTATATACAGAGAAAGCTAATTGTAGCGATATTATATGGAATATGAAAAAACGCTGTATCTTTTTTCTAAATTTTTCATCTTTTCTTTTCAACAACATTTACAATTGCAATCTGTCTAAGTAAAAGAGAGATGGAGAGAGTATGATATATTAATGTATCAAATATTACAATACACTAAACAAAATTGTTAAATGATTTTTTATATTGCACAGAAATGAGATATTAAGCAGTACATATAAAATATAATATCCAATCCAACAATATGTTATAACTATGTTATAACATTTGAAACAATCTTACAATCGTTGTGTCCAAGTCTCCAATAATACTAATACGCTACTTTTTTAAAACAGGGTAAAAATTAATCTCCTGCCCGGTACAGGAATAAATGTGAGTCTGGTAGCGAACTACACCTCCATGGAGGTACCCTATTCCGGAAAATTAATTTCCCATTACGAGGATGGAGAGACGAGGTCTCGCCAGATAAGCGGCATTCGCGCCGAAGAGAGCATGTTCGATGTAAAACCCATATTCGGACCCATTTACTTCCTTGCCAATTATAGTCTAGTTCCTACCACCACCATACCACCTACCACGGAACCGAGCACCACCGCAACCCCGCAGAACGTAAGCAACGACGTTCGACAGGACTACGGTACGGAAGAGAGCGAGCATCATGACGAGAACATGATCATACCACGGAAGAAATCGGATCTGTCTAACATGCAGAGCGATGACGGTGGACCGTTGTCGCTGAAGAACAAGGTAGAGGTGACGTACTCCGGAGCGTCGTCTCTTCTTAGATTAAACGTAGGATTGCCTTTATTAATTTCGTTACTGACGGTGGTCAATAAAATTACGTGAAAAGATCGATGATTCCGAGAGTATCCTAAGCCCTAAGTTGCAATAGTAATATATTCGTAGAGGAAAAAAAAATAATGTCCAGAGATTATCACAAAACGCAGACTAAAAAAAAAATCGTAAAAAAAAGACAAAAATGGAAATAGCGAAAAAAAGGTAAAAAAAAAATAGATGAATTGAATACAAATACACACAAGATGTTGCTGTAATTTCGTACATATAGCAGAGTATGTAACGAAATAAAAAAAGCTACCTTGATTATAAATCGCTGATCAAGTCAGACCGCGATGTCAACGCTGACATAATGCTTGCCTTTCGAAGATGAATAAAAAAAATACTTCATATTTAATATATATATATATATATATACATAAAAAATATATATATATACACGTTTAGGATAGCAAATGAAAGGGATACCTTAAGCGATGAGCTAGTCTCACGACGAATGTTAAGTAAGTACAAGCGATCGCCAGCCAACATATGGACATGTTAACAACAGCCTGTGGATCGTTAACATTTACCTCTATATTGTTGAATTAATTGATGAATGTGTAAACTAACGACATTCCGTCTTTAAACTAATCTTCGCTGTGAATCGATTTTCCAGCTAAACTATTTTATGCCTTCGCAAAAGTGCACGTTCTAGGATCTTCTTCTAGAAAAGTCTTTGAAAACAAGCTTTGAATGGGAAAATAGAGAGTAAACACATGAGATACAGAAAGGATGATACCCTTTTCTTTGAGAATCGTGTTCAAAGAGAGTTTAGAATTACTGCAGGTATTATTCTCGGGCAACTATATATACATATATATATAAATATATGTATAGTTTCTGAAAAATTGGGAGAAATAACGACGAGTAAACGAGTGGGAAATTGAAGGTAAAAATGATGAAGAAAAAAATGATTACGGAGGGACAAAGATTCGCGAGTTAACGCAATTACAATATATATTTTTGAGATTGCAGTATAATTTTAGACAATTGTAAGATTTATAAAGGTGTAGCGAGTAAGAATATGTAGAGTACAGGTGGATGGGTACCTGTATTTTTTCAACGATGTTTCAATATCATTTGTCTGACTGATGTAAAGCTTCGAGGAGCCCTTAGATAAAATGAAATAGTAGGAGGATTGCTACATAATAAAAATATTGAAAGAAGTGCACGTTATTTGAGAATGGGTATAGTAGGTTAGTAGGTTTCAATTATTATATTATTGAAGGTAATTTGTTTCCAATTCTGTAAAAATAATACAATATTTTGTGTACCCATCTGTCTCATGTAAAGTGATAGGGCTTGCAGATTCCTAGAAAATAATTATTAATGGAAATTGTAATAACAAAGGAATGCAGTATTTTAATTTGTATAGATACGTTAATAATTTGTAAGGTACATTTGTTTAATAAGCGAGACGAGAAATATGGACTTATAACGTAATAACTACGTTTAATTTTAAACGTCTTTATGTTGAAAATTCAGGAAAAATAATTATATATGCCGTTCGTTCTCTTTTTTTCTTTCGACGATATTTTCTTGATACATTTGTATATGTATATAACGTAATTTCTATACTCTCATTAGGTATAATTGTTACGAACTTATTTAATCATTTATAATTTTTTCTAACAGTGGTAAATAACATCGTACGAATTATCCATATTTTATTACATTATAGCACTAACGGAAAAAATGTAAGAAGGAAACATTCATTTCGAACACGAACACATTGTCCATGAGTTTATAATAACATTAACCGAAGTAAGCCTAATCACAATATTGTGATATTCAGTAAAAATTTTATGTAGATGTAAAGGAATGTGACATATTCTGTTAAATAATTTGTTAATTATTATAGAAAGCAATAATTTGTTGCGAGATTGGGACATGTGAATTTTAGAATGTTGCGTGTTTAAATGAAGCAGAAGAAAAAAAAAGTAGGTAGAAAGTAATGCAAGATAATGATATCTAATACTGTCAGCAATATTTTCTCATTGTGAATAAAGTGATGCGATGGACGTGGCCCAAAGTAAATGGATAGTATGTTTTCAAGATAAAAATTGATGAAAGATACAAATGATAATAGGGATATCTCTATATTTGGAAGAAAAGAAATTACCGCTTATTTTTTAGTTGCTTCTTCATATTTCTGTACGCCTTTGAGAAAATGTTAATAAAAACTCCAATGTAAAAATGACTGCATTTAGCAATACCCAGGACAACCCAGTTTTTTAGAAATATGTGCATTGCACCGATACATTATTTATAAATTATTATGATATAAATTATTATGTAAAAACAAATGTAGTTTCTTTCCCCCTTATTCTCCTTCTCTATGCATAAGCGCACACATGTGAAAAATATTTCGTGTGCTACAAAATGTATCTACATTGTCTTATTACTACATTATTCTTTCCTTTAACGATATTACCTTACTGTACACCCCCACCCCTGTGTATAATAAAAATTCTCATTAAAGTTAAAAACCATTTAAATATCTGATTGTTTTCCACTATTTCATTTTCTAATTCCGATAAGGAAGTATAAATAGATTGATAATGTTGATATAATTTTATCTTCAAATTTTATAATCACAAAAATATTATTAAAATATTCCAGAATCTTTTAGAAATTATATAAGGTATAATAAATATAAAGGCACATTTAAGGTATTGCACAACTACATTGAAAACTATGAGAGCCATGTATGAAAAACACTTACCAAGAACCCCATACTGTTGTGGAGTAAGTCTTACATCAGCATCTGGACCTCCTGGAACAGAAGATATAAGTGATACTCGATCACTTATATGACTTTTGCTGCTAGCTTCACTTTTTCTTGCCCATGATGCTTGCGATAATACATCTACAAATAAGACATAAATATCATAAGATTTTGTTATAGCATTAATAAAGTTTACATTATATGTTTATCATTATTTCTTTAATGTCTACTTATAAAATTATATGCTATTGTAATAAATTACCAAAATTAGAGTTCTTTGCAGCAGTAAATCTTTGTTTTAGCTCCCTTAGGGTTCTTCTTGAAGGACGAGGACGTCGTCTACGTCTCTTTAAAAACTGTGCTAGTCCTCCTAATAGTAATGATCCTCCAGTAAGACAAATAATAAAAATCTACAAGAAAAAAAGGAAAATATCAGAATAAAATTGATTACTCCATTATAAACTAATATCATACAAATTTTGTATACAAATATTTATCATATTACTAAGAGTAATAAAATAATTAAAACAGTATAAAATATCATTCCGTAAATATTATATAATATAGAAATTATAGAATGTAAATATATTTATTCTAACCTCAAAAAGAGATACTTGCTTTTTGAGTTCTAGATAAATTTATTGATGGCAGTGAAATTACATAACGTTTACACAATGCACCTAAAAACTGGTGCGCGTTAAAAATGGACATTGCAAGTATCTTTGTTATAAACAATATAAATGGATATTTTTACACGGCTTAAACCAACAGATAAACATTAGATTCGAGAGAAACACTGCATTGAAGAACATTCGTTTGTGCGGTAAATATTCAAAGTATAAGCTATTACTATATTGATATAAGACGTGCGATAACGTGGGTTTAAATCTGCTCGCGCATTTATTGAATTATCGTTCGTTGTAAACACAAATTAATAAAACTAGTGTAAACACTGCAATAGCAACTTAAAACTACTAGTAATTTCGAATTTTTAAAATTGGAGGAAATCTAATTTTTGTACTTTTGTATATACGAGGTAAAGTTTGTATAATAAAAAGATATTATGCGTTCGTAATTGAAAAATAAAAATTATTACGAAATTCTAGGTAATATTCTTATATTTTCTTTAATGGATTTTTTAACATTATTAAAATATCCACATTCTTTAATATGAAAAACTTTATTACTATTAATAGCTATGTTTATATACAATATGTAGAAAATAGTTCGTGCTTTTATTATTTGAATGCATTTATACACTTTTCACAATGTAAACAAAATACTGTATAAAAATAAGTTTTTCATTTCATATCATCCCAATCACAAAATTCGAAGTCTTCGTCATTTAAATCAAGTAATTCTTTAAGCTCTTCAGTTGTGGAAAATTGACTTTGTGATGTATTTTTTGTTACATTCTCGTTACTGTGTACTATTTTTTGTGAGTTATCCATAAAACTATCTAAGGTTTTTTGTTCTGAACTGAATGCTTGTACAGTGACATCAATATCTTTTAGAGAAAAATTTTGATCAAGTCCAACCTCGTTCAATACATTCATCTTTTTTTGAATTAACGGCCATAAATAATCGTCTGCTGTTTGTTTTGCAACCAAATATTGAATGATAACACTATTATCTTGACCAATTCTGTGTACCCTATCTTCAGCTTGGCACAATATCTATAATAAAACAGATTATATTAAATGAATCTGATTTTAAGTAATTATGATTTCAAGAAATAAAATAAATGATAAATACTCCAGGATTCCAAAATAGTTCTGCAAAAACTACAAGTTTCGCAGATGTTAATGTAATTCCGGCGTTTGCTGCTGTGATTGATAATACTGCTACCGTGCAATCGTCACAGTTTTGAAATTGGTCGATTTGATATTTTCTGCGTTCTGGATTTGTTTTTCCATCAATTCTAATATATCTAAAACGCATAAATAAGTTTTGAATAAATAAAAATTTTATCTTTATACACTAGTGTATGCAGACAGTATAATTACTTTATATCCATAGATTCTGCAACATCACAAATAGCATCCATAACATTTTGATGATGGGCAAATATAATGAACTTTTGTTTATTCATGAACAGCTTGGAAATATAATCACTGAAATAATATTATACATATTAGACAATATTCATTACTATACTAAATAGTTTTATTATATAAAATTGTATTTGTAACTTTAGTGATTATTTACTAAATAAAAATGTTATTTATATATACCATATAGCCTTTTGTTTAGCAACACCAGATTCATTATAGTAGTGCAAAAGAGTACGATGTTTTTCCATACCATTCAGAACCTCTCGCTCTAGTTTCTTGGAAATTTCTACCATTTCTTTAGTACCAACTTTTATTAAGCCTGGATCTAGTATAATAACTTCTCTAAAATTTTTTTAGTAAAATAAACATTTATATTTGTACAAATTCAAATGTACAAATGTACTATCTTATGTACTGCTTATGTACTATCCAAATAATCTGATATAAGTATACTTATCCTTCACCTTTTTTTTGCCGGTAATTGATTTAAAACATCATTTTTTAATCTTCGAATTACGCAAGTGCGTCTTAATAATAACTGCAATTCTTGCATGTTTGACGATCCACTAAAGTCCCATCCATATGAAGTTTTTTCTCCTGCACAATACCGAATTCCATATTCTTGATATCTATGTAAAAATAATACTTGTTTACTCATATATAAATTACATATAACGAACATTTTACATTACCCCATAAAATTTGGCATTATAAGATTTATTTGAGAATATAATTCCATGGGTCTTGATAAAGCAGGTGTCCCAGATAGCAAAACAACGTGACGTGCTTGCAAGACTACACATTGTGCAGCGTTAAATCTCGCAGTTTTAAGACTTTTCAATGCATGAGACTCATCCTATACATAAATTTATTTATTCCTGTTATATATATATTCCTATTTATATTTAATCAATATATTGTTTTTTAACATACCAAAATAACAAAACCAAAAATTTGGCGTTCAAACGTGTCCATCGCTCGGACTAGAAGATCATATGTTGTAATAACGATTTTACTACTATCAATACAGTCTTTGGTATTTGCAAATTGGTGAATGTAATGAGCAGGTACAGATGGCAAAAATGTATATATTGCTTCTGCCCATTGATACCTAAATTTTTCAAAATCATTTTTACTATTTGCTTTAATACAATGAAATATATCTATCTAGCATATTCTTCATTGTCAAACCTGACTGAAGCGGGTGTAACAATAAGGAGGGGCCAATTCTTTCTAAAATAATGCGCAATGCCTAGTGCTTGAATGGTCTTTCCTAAACCCATATCATCAGCAATCATACAACGACCACCTTTAGATATTCCATAGCTGAAAATAATAAATTTAATTCTATCCTATTTTAAATTTAAAAACACATGTAAATCATGTAGTTATACCAAACTCCTTCTCGTTGAAAGGGCATTAAATTCCCTACTAACTGAGGATCAATGTCTAATAGATCAATATTTTCAGTATTCATTGAGGTGTCATTTTTCCTGAAAATCTAAAAATATTTCAAATGTATATACATACACATACACACACAAAATACAATATATTATTCCTCAATATAATACCTGAAGGACTGGTTTTGGTAATCCTGTAATTTGTATATCAGATTTGAAATTAATAACCTTTTCTATTACTGTTTCATAGTCTTTTAAAAGAAAATTCCATTGTTTAGTTTTCATATCTAAAATAAAAATATGATATATAACAGGTACCGTTATTTATATATTCTATGTTTAGTAATTAAAATTTATTTATTTATGTTAAATTTAAGAATATACTACTCTTATATTACCATATGATCTGCTTGAAACTTTCTTTATTGCCTCAACAAGTGGAGGAAAATATGATGAAGTTTCTAATACAAATCTTTCATCAGTTAACATGTAACATTTTGCTGTAATGCAAGATTTCTGACCAAAAAAATTCTTTGTTGACATAGGATTAAATCGTTCATTTTGTTTATTAAGTTTTCCACTATGCTTGAAGCAATTGTTCTCAGATTTTGCTTTATAGTCAACATATTTTGATGACGAACCATGTCCAAAAACTTTTGGGCTATTGTGTGATTTATTTTCATTAGTTATGATACTACTATTAGCAGAAGTAATCCTATTTCTTGTATTTGCATTAGGGATTAATGAACTGTTTTTCAATTGAGATTCCTTTCTACGTTGTAAAGCTAACAAACGCTTTTTTTCTATTTCTTCTTGGGAATAACTCATGCTTATAATATAAACTTTATTAAAAAGCTTGTATGATAAAAAAATGTTGATTTTTGTAGTATATACAAACCTGATATATATATATATATAAACGCTTTTTCTTATAAATCGTACACATTCAATATAGTTTTAAAAATAAATGATAATACTGATAATTTCCCATTTTCTTTTATTTCACAATTTAAATTATGTTATCCTGTCATCTTATTCTGCATAATACAGCTTTCACAGTTTGTACAAGATATATAAAAAATATTAATACGTATTTGACGTATTTGATAATTACGTAGTTAGAATTTAAGTCGATTTAAAGTTTGAACACAATTTGTTTACGTAATTTAAGGAAAAATATTTGTCAGTAGTTAACCTGAGTAAATCATCATAAAGAGCGGATATAAACAAAACCATACTCATATACCAAAAGCATAGAAGAAATTGTCCAGAAATTGAGCCGTAAAAAGTCGTCATGGAAGACGAAAAGGTTCAGTTCTGCGCATGCGTGTCATGGTATGAATGTCTCAGACAGAGACAGAGATACTCTACTCATTTCTGTCTATCTCGCAAAAAAGAGAACTTTATTATCTTTCATGTTGGTTTTTCATGACTCAATTTTCGGATGCTTTTCCCTAACGAGTAACAAAATCTGTTTATATGACCGTGAATAATACCACAATAAATGAGATCTATACATAAAATTGATCAATATAATTTAACTTAAAAAGCTCAAACTTAGAGAAATAACTTCCTATTTATAATATTTCAAAATTACGAAGCCTAGTATCCCCTAGATTTTGACCACGTGGTTTTATTTATCTTTCCTGATTTGTCTCGCTGATTAAAACACGATCATATAAACAGGTTTCGAAACTCGCTAGAGAAAATCGTCCAAAAATTGAATCGTGTCTAATTATGAAAAATCAACATGGATGATCAACGAAGTTCGCGTTCTTGCGAGACAGACGAAGATGAGCTAAAAGTCTCCATCTCTGTCTGAGACATTGAGAACATATCACACATGCGCAAAATGAGAACCTTCTTGTCTTCCATGTTGATTTTTCACAACTAGTCAAAACTCAATTTTTGTACTGTTTTCCCTAGGCTTCGGTATATGAGTGTTGAAACCTGTTTTGTATAATCATGGGTCAAAATATATTTTCAGTAACTTTTGAAGATTTAGTTAACTTTTAGTGGATTTAATGTAAAAAAGATATATGTATGTGCATTATTTAATTTTTCTATAAATTTTTGACCGTACGAAATTTTGTTGTGATCAAAATCAACTTATTGAAAACATTTTGTAATATCTATCTTGTTCAATTTTAACGATTTCAGAGTTGGGTTCGTACGTTTCTATTACGAATATCCAAAGCAATTTAACTCTTAATAATATACGTTTGCAACTCAAATGTTTTGCATACATCTTATATACATGTGTTTGTATATATAACGTAAATATATATTCTTTTTTGTTTATTATTAATTATACGTATATTTTCAATGAATAATAACCAAATTCTGTGATAAGTACGATGTCAACGTCAAAGTCACCTGTAAATCGTACGTATTTCAAACATTAATTAAAATAAATATATTTAATAATATCGAGTAATTGCCTTTTAATTATATTGTAGCCGACGATCATGAATTCGTCGTCCCGAAAAAGTCGATTAAAGTACCATCTGATATGGTAATTTGGGAAAAATCCGAAGCATATTTTGTAAGAATTTGCATACTATTTCTTTTTTATTAATGATATTTGATATTATCACAATTTTCAATATTCAAGGATCTTTATCGTATGAAAAAACATGTAAAAATATTTTGTAGGAATACTTGGGATTTATATTGGCCTTAAATGAATCGGTTCAGGGAAAAGCTTTAAATGTTGAATACACACAAAGTCCTACAATAGCCAGTATTGTTCAAATGCTTAATGAATTTGATGAATGGATAACACAGATACCTCCCACTGAGCAGCCCCAACGTTTTGGTAACAAATCGTTTAGAGAATGGCACGAAAGATTACAACAGGTAAATATATATTACTTTTACATAGCCATCTTCAAAATCTATTGATTCATAATATTTCAGAATGGAATAGCAGAATTACAAAAAGTATTGCCAGAAAAATTACATAGAGCAGTTCCAGAAATAGTCCAGTATTTATATGAAGGCTTTGGAAATCCAACGCGTATAGATTATGGTACAGGACATGAAATGGCATTTTTAATGTTTTTATGTTGTATGTTCAAAATTGGTGCTTTCACACAGGATGATAAAGTAGCTGTAGTTGTAAAAATATTTAACAGGTAATTTTTATTGAACTTGATATTCTTACCCTAATATTTTGTGTGTTTCCAGAGATTAAAATAGTTTTTGTTTTTTTGTAAGATATCTGGAATTAGTACGTAGATTACAATTAACTTATCGGATGGAACCAGCAGGTAGTCATGGTGTATGGAGCTTAGATGACTATCAATTTGTCCCATTTATATGGGGAAGTGCTCAATTAATTGGTATTGCTTTGTACTAATTTTTTTATTTTTTATCATAATGTATTTCAAAGATATACATAAATGTACACAAAAAATGATATACATTTCAGGGCATCCTCGTATAGAACCTCGTCATTTTGTTGAACCAGATATTATTCAAGCTTTTAACAAGCAATATATGTTTCTTGGTTGTATTGAATTTATTTCAAAGGTTTGTATACATATATATGCACTCACATATATTGTATTGTTAGCCGTTTTTATATATTTTAAAGGCAAATATTATTTTAGGTAAAGATAGGTCCATTTGCTGAACATTCAAATCAGTTATGGAATGTTAGTGCTGTATCTTCTTGGGTCAAAGTAAATAATGGTCTTATTAAAATGTACAGAGCTGAGGTAAATATTATTGCTAACAACTTATCAATATGATAATTAGATAATGACGTTTTAAACATCATACACAGGTTTTAGCAAAATTTCCTGTTATACAACATGTTTTATTTGGTTCTTTATTATCGATAAAACCGGCGTCTGTTCCACCTGTTAAAAGGGGACCTCGTCGAGATCAACCATTACAACCACCACCGACTCAGTAATAGTATTGTACAAATACGCTTCATATCTGTTGATGTAGTTTGTAACAAATATCCGGTATTTATAATGAAACTATGTTGCAATTGTATGCTAAATTTCAAGATATATGACACAAATAATTGTATTATGTTGCTTTTATGCTGCACCAATTTTTCCATTGTTAAATCGTAAAATATATGTGTTTTATATATAAATTTTATTTGTAAATTATTAAAAATTTATTTTAGGAAATGTCAGTCATATTAGTTAACAATGTGTTAGTAATTATCTAAGATAATCTAGAAATTAGTTAACACGATTATTTATTGTAAATAAAATTAATCAGTTACAAAAAATGGTTCATAATATGTAACACACATTGTCACGAGAATTGCTTCAATATGAATACTTACATACCTTAAAATAGATTACTTTTTAATTTCACCCAGTTAGTAGCAATTTGTTTGTATATAGACACAACCACTAACAAGCATCTTCTTGTATGATAGAATAAATATTGTATCACTAACAAGTGCTTTTATAATAATATATAATACAGCTATATATATATAATATAAATATAATAATCTATATATTAATATAATAATACTGCTTTCTCAATTATAAATAATTCAACATAATATATATGTAAATATGTAAAGTGAACTATCCACTATAAACTATTAAGATATATATTACACATAAGATGTTCCGTCGGGTACACACAAAAGAAACACATGAGGCCATCATCGGTAAAGCTATTAGCACGATTGCAAAAAAAGCTATTTTTGAGCTAAATTCTTAAATTATTAAATATTATAAGTAATAGACAGCATATTTTTAGGATTACTTAGAATTTTAATTTAATGCACACTTAATAACCAAAGATGTGTTATAAATTCAGTATTTCTAAAGGGCACTTTGGAAATATATTATAACAGTACAAATTGCCGAAGTTTCTGACCAGGAGGAATATCACGATCTTTCCGGAAAAACGAACATCTCGTGTCAGTTCAGGTTATGCCCTTACCAGAAGAAGGTGTATGGAAGGGTAGTCCTGACACTCAGGGTACCATTGATTAGAAAATTAAATTTTGATAACAACCAATCAACGTGCATTCTGAATACATGAGACAAACCTCGGACATTCCGAGGAGAACACAAACATTCTTCCCCCATTGACTTATACAGGTATTTTCCAATTTTTGTAGAAGTCAAACGTTCTCAAACATTTATACAAGCAAGATACACTGTAAACTTTCAACTATAAACATTCAATCCTCAAATAGGGGCATAATCACGTGCGTAACTCTTATAGTGTATCAGCTTATTTAAGTGTATTAAAGTTTAATTGTATATCGTTAAACAATGAAAGTGCAATTTTTCGTTTCTTCCCCATAAATATACATACACTGTGCCTGAAGAACATACAATTATTCAGAGCACGTTGTTCGTGTCGACCTTCAAGAGTTAACAGGGACAGCCATGTCCATGCATAAGAAATGAAACATGCACAAAATATACGTCATAGGAATAATATTTATTTTGATATTATTTTCTGTAAATTCTGACAGAAACAATAAAAGATACCAAAGTCATGTTGCACAAATTATCATTAGTATCGATACTTTATTTTCTTGATGACAATAAGTTGCATTAAAAAAATATAAAAATATGATTATTGATAGTTTTGATTGTCATTAAATAGAGTAATTAGTAATCTTTAATATAAACTGCTAGCTTTTCGCTTTTTAGGACACTAACAACCTTTCTTATATTATTACATGAATTAACAAATATATGTAAACATTTTAATGAAAATAAATTACATGCTTAACACATTGACGCCGGTGCACGAATTCACTATCTGCTTCGTGGGGCAATGCTGAATCACTACCTATATTGTGAAATACATGTGTGACCCATCGCAGCCCCTCGTGACAGACACGTGTGACCCGCCGATGGCGCACGCCGGCGTCAACGTGTTAAAGTTTAGAATGTTTCATTCCTTGATTAACAATTCCATTTGCTATTAAATTAACAATTTCTTCTGGTTTAAAATCTAATTCAGTAAGAATTTCTGTAGTGTGCTCACCCAATTTAGCATTTCTTTCATGTTTTTTAGATATTCCAGGAGTACGAGATAAACGTGGAGCAGGATTTGGAGTTACCAAACCATTGTCTCCAGTCTTAAATATATTTCTTTCCTTATTGTGTGCATGTGATGCAACATCTTTTAAATTTAGAACGGGTGTTACGCAAGCATCTGTACCATCAAATATGGCACACCATTCTGCTTGAGTCTTTTGTTTGAATATCTTTTCTAATTTTTCACGGCTTTCTTCAAAATTCTCAAATTGTGGCATTTCATGAGATGAAATTCCAAGTTTCTCTAAAAATATCTCATAAAACTTAGGTTCAATTGCTCCAACGCACATATATTGTTTATCTTTTGTTTCATAAGTATCATAAAAGTGTGTTCCAGAATCTAATCTATTTGTAAGAAATATTATTTAATTATTTATTTATATGAAACTATTAAAAAAATAGGAAATAGATAATGATATAACTTAGAGATCCTTACATATTTTTACCACGAGGATTTCCCCATAATCCAGGCACATTTTGAGATCTAAAGAACCAACTGCCTAGATATGCAGATCCATCTACCATTGATGCATCAATCACTTGACCAATACCACTCTTGCTACGTTCAAATAATGCTAGTATTATACCAAAAGCACACATTAATCCACCACCAGCAAAATCAGCTACTAAATTGACTGGTGGTGTTGGTTTCTGATTGTGACGTCCAAATAATGATAATAAACCTGAACATTATCAAAAGCAGTTTAGTAAATATGCCTTACTTAAAATAAAATAAGCTAGAATACATATGTTGTTTTTAAATTACCAGATAAAGCTAAATAATTTATATCATGTCCAGCCATATTAGCATAAGGTCCATTATGCCCAAATCCTGTCAACCTGGCATATATCAACCTCTTGTTTATTCCCATAAGTTCTTCTGGTCCTAGTTTCATTCTTTCCATTACTCCTATTTTAATATTAATCAATATGTAAAAGATATATATAATAACAATAATATATTTATTAAAGAATACAAACCAGGTCTATAAGGATCTATAAGCACATCACTTTGATTGATCAATTTCCTAAATATATTAGAACCTTCATAAACTTTTAAATTTAACGCAATTGATCTTTTTCCATGACCCAGACAATCAATGGCATTATAAGATCCATAAGTCTATAAAAAAATGAATATTTAAAAATTGATATATACATGACCAAAAAACGAGCTTAAAACATGATCGCCTAATCATTAGTTATACCTTGTCCACTCTGATTACAGATGCACCAAATTGGGCTAATATCATTCCACAAAAAGGGCCTGGTGCTAGCCCAGCTAATTCTAATACATTTATACCTTTTAAAGGCATATTTGTGACCTGTAAAACTGCGCCATGAAAACTAACATAGAATGAGTTCACACTTTTTTAATTACAATTGTATCAAAGTTAATTATGCAATCTTACATAGTAACAGAAATCAATGTGAATAATTAATTCAACGATACTAAAACTTATTAAATTTCTTTAAGAAATGATGAAATCTTTTTTACAGATAAGTGAAAATTCATTTTTAATTAAACGAGGTACATATTACATTATTAACAAATTATTTAAATCCATTTGTATGAATATAAAAACTATACCCTTACGATACAGAGTGGTCCAGTTAAATGGAATCACTTATATATCTTCTCCATTTATTGTTGTATAAAGTTACATTATTTTAAGGACCGCAAGCATCTGTACCATCAAATATGGCACACCATTCTGCTTGAGTCTTTTGTTTGAATATCTTTTCTAATTTTTCACGGCTTTCTTCAAAATTCTCAAATTGTGGCATTTCATGAGATGAAATTCCAAGTTTCTCTAAAAATATCTCATAAAACTTAGGTTCAATTGCTCCAACGCACATATATTGTTTATCTTTTGTTTCATAAGTATCATAAAAGTGTGTTCCAGAATCTAATCTATTTGTAAGAAATATTATTTAATTATTTATTTATATGAAACTATTAAAAAAATAGGAAATAGATAATGATATAACTTAGAGATCCTTACATATTTTTACCACGAGGATTTCCCCATAATCCAGGCACATTTTGAGATCTAAAGAACCAACTGCCTAGATATGCAGATCCATCTACCATTGATGCATCAATCACTTGACCAATACCACTCTTGCTACGTTCAAATAATGCTAGTATTATACCAAAAGCACACATTAATCCACCACCAGCAAAATCAGCTACTAAATTGACTGGTGGTGTTGGTTTCTGATTGTGACGTCCAAATAATGATAATAAACCTGAACATTATCAAAAGCAGTTTAGTAAATATGCCTTACTTAAAATAAAATAAGCTAGAATACATATGTTGTTTTTAAATTACCAGATAAAGCTAAATAATTTATATCATGTCCAGCCATATTAGCATAAGGTCCATTATGCCCAAATCCTGTCAACCTGGCATATATCAACCTCTTGTTTATTCCCATAAGTTCTTCTGGTCCTAGTTTCATTCTTTCCATTACTCCTATTTTAATATTAATCAATATGTAAAAGATATATATAATAACAATAATATATTTATTAAAGAATACAAACCAGGTCTATAAGGATCTATAAGCACATCACTTTGATTGATCAATTTCCTAAATATATTAGAACCTTCATAAACTTTTAAATTTAACGCAATTGATCTTTTTCCATGACCCAGACAATCAATGGCATTATAAGATCCATAAGTCTATAAAAAAATGAATATTTAAAAATTGATATATACATGACCAAAAAACGAGCTTAAAACATGATCGCCTAATCATTAGTTATACCTTGTCCACTCTGATTACAGATGCACCAAATTGGGCTAATATCATTCCACAAAAAGGGCCTGGTGCTAGCCCAGCTAATTCTAATACATTTATACCTTTTAAAGGCATATTTGTGACCTGTAAAACTGCGCCATGAAAACTAACATAGAATGAGTTCACACTTTTTTAATTACAATTGTATCAAAGTTAATTATGCAATCTTACATAGTAACAGAAATCAATGTGAATAATTAATTCAACGATACTAAAACTTATTAAATTTCTTTAAGAAATGATGAAATCTTTTTTACAGATAAGTGAAAATTCATTTTTAATTAAACGAGGTACATATTACATTATTAACAAATTATTTAAATCCATTTGTATGAATATAAAAACTATACCCTTACGATACAGAGTGGTCCAGTTAAATGGAATCACTTATATATCTTCTCCATTTATTGTTGTATAAAGTTACATTATTTTAAGGACCACGCGTAATGGTAGAATTAGTTTTTTCTTATGATTTTTTTTTTTTTTTGGCGAGATTTCAAGGTCATTATTATTTTTTAAAAATAGAACCATATATCTATTTTTCAATATTCTTGCAGAGCATGGAAAAACGAAGTCAACCTTCTTTATCCAACCTTAATAACCATACTATTCTCATCATTTAATTTTAAGATATTTCCGTTTGAAGGGTACATACAAAATATCAGACAATATTTATTTTTAACAGCTTCTATTCATTTCTAATTTCTGAGGATCAGTAATTCTAGAATCTTTATCGGATATAGTTATTTTAATATTGGTATTAAAGTCACTAAGGAAAGGGAATATATTAACTGGTAACACTGATACGCAGTGTGCAATAAATAAATACATTGTAACCTGTAACAAAACAAATTACATTAATTGTAGACAAATTCAAATAGAATATATATCACCAAAATGAATCCGACGGAACCTACTAGTACGGAAACTTTAAGGTACTTTAAGGAAATACATGAATTATTTGAAATAAATTTCTTTGCGAAATTTTGACTGTACGCCGGCTCGTGATTTTTATAACTTACTTTACAACAATGTTTAATGAATTTCATTTCCCAGATAAAGTATAGTATGTTAAACATATATTATTTTCTTTGATTAAGTCAATTTTTACAATATTTTTAGTAAGACTATATGTATGCATATATACAATTTGTAATAAATTAAAAATAATATATTGTATCCATACAGTTCCAAAATGAAAGATGTTATTGATGTATTAGCTATGCAACGGGAGAAAAGAAACACTTTGCAAAAGAGCATTACAATTGATTACACAAAGAGCAGTGATAGTTTTACAATTTCACGATTTATATTTGAATGTGGTAAGTTCTTTGATTATTTAGTTTTATATTGTAATAGTGGAAAGTGATATTAACCTTTATTAATTATAGGTTTAAAACTGGAAGCTCATCCTCTGACTATTGCTACAGCTGCAACATTGTATCATAGGTTTACAAAAGAAGCTGTTCCAGGAGGTTATGATAATTGTGTAAATAATTAATTTACAATATCAATTAAAGTTTCAAATATATGTCCTTTATAATTTATATTTACATAGATGTGCACGTGTTTCAGCTAATTGCTGCTACTTGTCTTTACTTAGCAGGAAAAGTGAAAGATGATAATTTGAAAATTAGAGATGTAATGAATGTATCTTACAGCACATTACATAGAGGATCACAACCATTAGAATTAGGAGATCAATATTGGAGCATGAGAGATGCAATTGTCCAAGCAGAACTTCTAATTATGCGTATGCTCAAGTTTCAAGTGACTCCTGTACATCCGCACAAAGTCAGTAGTAAATGCATATAATTTATGTTAATTAAAATATAAACCATAAATAATTATTCTAAATAAGAAAATATTATTTTAGTATATGTTACATTATTTACGATCTTTGCAAGCATGGTTTGGAGAGGAAGAATGGTCTAAATATCCAGTTGCAAAAACAAGCATGGCACTTTTACAAGATTTTCATCATTCCCCAGCTATACTTGATTATCCACCAAATTTAATAGCAATCGCTTGTATTAATTTGTCACTTCAAATTTATGGTGTAGTAGTACCATTAATGGACGAATGTGACCAGCAACCTTGGTTTAATGTAACAATTAAGAACATTTTTAAATTTATGAAGATCAGGAATTAGTTAAAAGCATAAGGTAAAGTTATTATCTTTTCCAGGTCTTCTGTAAAGACCTAACAAGAGATAAACTTTGGGAGATAATGGAGAAAGTTATGGCAGCATACGATGAAGAACCAGAAACTAGAGACAACTGAAGCATTTCAGTGATATTTGAGTTCATTGTATATTAACACAAGTTCGACGTTTTTATAAAACTTGGTATTGAAAGAGTACAAATATAAATCAAGGCCATCAAACAGAATATTTCTGATTTTGTGTTTTGTATTTTTCTATACCATTAATATTATTTTTAAATTAAAAGACAATGATATTTGAAATATAAGAAAATAGTATGGAAAAAGCGACGTGCATTTTTTATTTTACCAATATGCAAACTGATAGTATTCATCATAATATAAAATAAATTAATTACTTCTTCTTTATAATAAAATCATAATAAATTATAAAGATTTGAAAAGTTTAATTACTTAATTAATATTAAAATATTTAGAAAATTAAGAAATTTTAGAACATCAAAATTTTTAATAACATCAAATTGTTTCTATATTTCATATAAATTTTTGCATATTTTGAATTTAATAATGTAGAAAAAAGTGGCAGATAATTCTTGATAGATCCCAATTAATAATTATTACTCAACATTCCAAAATAACATATATTGACAAAATTTATATGTATAAAATCTTTACCTAAAGTTTAACTAGCATAATAAATTATAGAAAAATCAATTTATTATACAATACAGTTTGAGTTCTGACATGTGTGAAGTTAGTTGCTGGCAAATCACTATTGTGTGGTCAAGTATATATATATAGATATAAGTAAAATTATTTTCGTTTTATTACAAAAAGATACTTATTTGTTTGATTCTAACATTGATATAAAACCTAATGTCTATTTATATTCATGTTATAAAATAACAAATGGGCATTTGAGTCACAAGAAAGTCGAACATCGAATATTATTGCCCGATGAATATTTACGGCATTTGTCAGTGAGAAGTTTGAAATAGTTTTACATAAAATTTTGATAAAAAATTGTTCTCAATCCATCATAACGATGGATCAAATGGAAAGATTTTTACCATTTACGATAAAACGAGAACAGGAAGAGTTTGATATTTGGGATAGCGATGATAACACTAGTCTCGAAGATATTAACAATCTCCTTTCAATTTCAATACCTTCACTTTCAGCGAACAAATTTCATATTCCCACTGATCTAAATGATGAATTTCTTCGACTGACTACTACGGCATGTTTTCTGTAAAAAATCCATTAAACACTTCGATATATTAAAATTTAAATATAATTTTAAATATTTGAATTTAAAAATTATTTTTGTAATTTATAATTAATTAATTAAATACAGATATATATCTGTAAAGTATAAAAATATTTAATTATGTTTTAATTCAATGATTTGTATTATATTAAATTTAAATTACAGGTTCGTACTATATATTTTTCCTATCTACATAAATGCTTACTTAGCAATTACATCCTTTGTTATAAGGAGAAGAATGAAGAGATTCCAAGTAATCAGTTGAAAATGTGTGCAAATCAAATGGAATTACTTGCAGTTCGATCATCTTTAGAAACCACTTTATACAGACAAAATATATTGAAATTGGTAATTCTGTTTATTGATGTAGTTTGATCTGATAAGTTGATTAAAAGTTGAATTTAAGATATTTATAGATTTCAGATGTAAAATCACATACATCAGAGAAAAAAGCCTATAAAAAATTAGTGATATTTTTGAAAACCGCACCATCTAAGGTAGACATTGGAGTTCAAACAATTAATTCATGGGCAGAGTTAGAAAGGGCAGATAACATTCAAAGTATATGTATCACCTCTAATTGTGAAGAATTGTCCTCAACAAAGGAAATATTAAAGCATAAAGAAGAGGATGATATAAATGATGAAAATGAAGACTATATGGATGATATATCTTCTCAATTGACTGTCTATAATAATACAGCTTCACCTACTGTCAATTCTACTAGTCTTAATGATCTAGAAAACAATAAATTCAATGATTTAGATGAAGAGACATGCAATAAAATGATAGTGGATGAAGAAACAATAAAAGAAGAAGATAGCAATATTTTTAGTTGTATACAAGATAATTCTAATATTCAAGTTACAAATCAATCCAATGTTCAAATTGATGATGAGAATTCACAGGATTCTCTTTTGCAACACATGGAAGATATGTTTTGTGACAGTGATGATAGTAGTGATCTTATGACATTAATTGAGAAACATTCAGGCGTTACTAAAGCTAATATGGATAAAGAAATTAACGCTCTTCTCCCACATAATTCTAATGGTTCTATTAACACGGCTAAAAGTAATGACATAAAGATTAACTCGGTTAAGAACACTAACATAAAAACATCAAATACAAGTACAGGAAAGTATAGTTTTAGTTATTATAAAGAGATGAAAACCAGAGAAAGTAATAATAAATCATCATCAACAGAAAATGAGACAACAGAAAACAAGCAAAAACGTAGAATAAACAATATTTGGCTTGTTGAACGTGTATATCAAGTATCAAAACTAAAGGCAAGAATGACAGAATTATCTTTAAAAGATTGCAGAAGACATAGAAGAGTTAAGGAAAAATTTATTGAATTATTTGGAGAAAGTGATGATGAAGGTATGATAGCAGATTCACCAATTTGTATAGAAGAACATTTAGCAGCATGTAAAGAAAGAATAGCACCATGGATTGTAAAATACTTAATGCCGTTCTATAAGAAACGAAGAATAAAAAATAGACAGCTCTTTAAAGTAGTTGCCAAGCATATAGCTGATATGCTTATTATTGAGAATACATTTCCTGGTTAGTATCTACTGAAATATTTTATTAAAATATTTAATAAAAATATTATCATATTCGGTACATACTTTATTTCTATTTTTCAGAACAAGATTGTGTAAGCAAGTATATAGAAACATACTTCAAAAATAAAAAATTCATTAGAACTAAACAGGATGTATATTTATAAACATTTGTTACATAGTTTAATCTATTAAATAAAAGAAATGTCACAGAACATTTTACATAACACGAATTATCAACATTGTATTTGTTTAAATTTCAGAGGTTCTAAGCTTGAGATTAACAAAGGGCATAATTACATATTTCATCATAAAGACAATGTGTTAAATATTACTTATGTAAATGTGTTTAAGATGTCTGCAATATCAATAGAAAAGAATAATAATTTTGTGAGTTGTTTCTAGCAATCTTTTAATTTGTTAAGAAATAATGAAGTTTGAATTTACAACACTACTTCTTTTTTATTGGAAGTTACATATACTTTTTAATCAAAATAAACACTGACAAATCCCGTTTGTGTTAAGATTTTCTTATTTAAATATTAGAGCTCTAAAAGTGACATTTAAGTCACAGTCTTAATTTTTTGTATGTTCCTTATTATTTATATTGATAGACAATATTTCTTATGTGAATGTTACATGTGCACTTGTTTATACACAAATATATTTATTATATATTAATGAGAGAAGAAATATATTTAATGAAAGTTCTCCTGTAATACAAATTATAACTTAATTGAAACACTGTAAAATAGTTTAATCTATGCCCTGTACATAGTCCCTTTGATAATTATAAATATTTAAAAAGTGTTGCTTCTAATGTAAGTTTAGAAAATATGAAAACACAATATATATATACAAATTATTAATTTTACTTTTATATCCAGTACAGAAGTAATATCATTCCTGTATCCTATTCTCATAATAAAACAAGGAGCGTAACAAGAAGATTCAGAACACCTTAATCATATATATATTTTATCATTAATAAACAAGGATCTAAGTTTAGTAAATTTTAGATTTTTAACAGTATTTCTTATGCAGTGAATATCAAATTATAAACAATTTTTAAGAGGTTTACCTTCATTCTCAAATCAATTTATCTTATCCACTTATTTGCAATAGCACTGTTTACAAATGAACTTATTGCTACTTACGAGTTATCCAATAGAAAACAATGTAGTATAGTTAATTATTCAATTTATTTTACTAAATTGATACTATTCATATACAAAAAAGAGTGATAAAAAGTTATTAAAGAAGGTCATATTATTATGTTTTCTATTGAACAACTTGTAAATAAATAATTTTTATCTTAATATTTTATTTTTTAAGCCATATTTTGCAATCCATAAATTTTGTATATTTATATATTAATTGATTTGTTGTATACAACATTATATTGCAATTTCTGAAAATGATAAATATCAATGTTATAAGTTTTTTTATCAAACTACAGTATTATTAAAAGAGGAAAGATTAAAAGAAAAAAAACTTAGTTAATTTTTCCCTATGACTGATAATGATATGAATAATAAGATCCTTCTAAATATTTAGTTGTGTTTGAAACACAATTTTTACAAAGCAAATTCTGGTTGAACATCACAGTGTGAAAAGCTCGATTAAATATTGCATAAATACAGAAGGATCTTAATAAATTTTAGACTTAAAGATTTAAGATAACTTTTCAAATATAACTTTACATATTGAAGGTGGGGAGGAAAATATACTTGCAATAAGTCTTATTGTAACTTATGTATTACGTATTTTTCCAGGTACGTAGTTCTTGTCTATTACAGGTTCTTGCAGAAACATATGTAAACACCGTTCATTCTGTGCTAATGGATGTCCTGCTATTCTGAAATATCAGGTAAGATTTCTGTATAATTCATCCAATATTTTTATATATTAAAAATAAATGGAATGTATATTTAACTTGGTTAATATGTACTTACTTATTAACAAAAGCTTCTAGACCTTTCCTTCGATCTTCAATAAAATCTTCTTCAAAAATACCATCATCTCCTCGAAAAGGCATCTGACGCTTCCAAGCTTTTCCTGGTAATGGAGGCACTACTATCTGTAAGTTCATTAACATTTTCTATTTACTAATACTGTTTTTTTCTAGTAAAAAATAAAATGTATTGATTTTTATAACTCTGTTATGAGATATTAATATTATCTTTGATTTAAAGGAATTTATCTTTTACTTTTATTTGTTTTACATATACTTTACCAACTGACCTTGCTATCTCTTTCTAGTTCAGTCCTCAGCCATTCAAAATCACTGTATCTTCTTCTTACTGTGGAATCTTTTACTTTAAAAACTGGTAGATTTGTCTGAAATAAAGAATTATTTTTTATAATTCATTTATTCAACATTTCAAACATAATACAAAAGAAGGAATGTAATATAAAATTTATGTTTAATTCTATTTAAAAGAACAAGAAGATCATAAGATACATATAATAATATTTTAGAATAATTTCAATATAAATTTTACAAAAAATTTGCTTATGTATATTATTATCCCCTGAATTCTGGAATACGATTCATATATATTAATCTAAGGCCTATAACTGGTTTCAACAGTATACATATTTTTGTATCTACCCAATTTTATCATTAACAGTAAGATAGCAGACACAGCCCATGATAGATTTGGTTAATGTCCACAATAAAATTAGCAGTCCTAATAACGCCATCACTAGCATTACTTTCGTATTAAAAAACAAAATTAATGTGAAAAAAGAATATTGAAAACATAAAAATTTTTTAATAATCTTTCATAAATTATTAAACAAGGCTTAACAATACCGTGACTGTATATACATAAGTATTAACCGCAATACGAAATTTTTTTCACAGAAAATATCATTAATTGCAGAAAAAATTTATTAATTTATTGAGTCGACGAATAAATAGGAATTAAACAAATTTTATATTTGGAGAAATACAAAGTTTATATATTTAAATAACAATACGATATCTTATACATCGAAACTGCAAGAGAACCTGACATCAAAATGAAAAAAATGGTCGGTTATGTTCATTAACTGACAAAGAATGAAATTATGAAATAAAACAATAAGGGCCTATCACTCACCCTCATGCGAACTTCATAATCGGTATACCGTTTCTTGCCGACGCCGTGTGTGATTGGATTAATCACGTCAATTTCGAGAAAATTTGCAGGCGCTGCATAAGCGTCGTCCAGTGTTTGTTTTTTAACATTTAAACGACGTGTAGCGTCCACTGTCGTATCCGCCATACCTTTTTCAACAGTAAATTAATTGAACCGCTTAAAGACCACCTAAGAAACACAAATCCGATACAGTGAATAACGAAACTTCGTCAAATGACAGCGGTGAGAAACTTGACACAATTTGTTCTCATGTGTTATATCTGTGATCATGGCACGAAGAAATGGACGTAGAGAGGAAACCCACGAACTAAACTCACAGTTAGTAATGAGTTGTCAAATACGACCGTGGTTTTTAACTGTGGCGAAAAATTTGATCTTTGAATAGGAGTCAATACCCTGATACTCCTTAAAAATTTTGGAAATCTTTGAAATCTTGAAGGTCTTTTAAGTCTTGAAAGTCTTGGTTACTTTAATAAATCTTGAAAGCTTAACACGTAGTCAATATTTTACAAGTATTTTGAATATTTCATTGTCATAAGATATTAAACAAAATCTAAAATGTCTGAGGTATCGGAAATGTATTCCAATGCAACTTTCGAGACTTTCAAGACTTACAAGATTTCCAAGGCTTATAAGACTTTCAAGAGTTATAGGGCATTGAATCCTATTCGAAGTGATTCAAAATTTTGACGGTCTTGAAAAATATCGAATCGTTCCGAAACTAATTGTGAGATTCGAATACCAATTACTACTTGCAGCTGCATCATCTACTAAATAACATTATTAAAGGTTAACGTTTCTGTTGTGTTTGTATTCAAAGATATTAGATTGTTCTTGTCAAGACCAACAATTTTTTATACGACGAAAGTATATACTTATGTACTTTCATTCATTCAAACTTGTTTAAATAAATTTATTAATAAACTCAAATCTGAAGTTTTTGGTAAGTTTTGAATATCGAGTGAATTAAACTAAAAAAGTATTATATTTTTATATGAGGTTTAATATTGTCTCATTGAAAAAAGAAATCTGTTTTATTAACAAATTCCTTTCTTCTTAATTTTCTTCAATATCTAACTAAAAGCAGTATTTGTTTGAATGTTCTATTATTTTATAGAAATTCATATAAAAAGCTACGAATTTTTCGAATAGCCTAATAATTAAACAATCGAGATGGTAAATAATGTGTGCTAGAAGTGAAGAAGAAGGATACAAATGTATCGAATTAGTTAAATTAAAGATTACATTGATACCTTGAACAAAAGTGGCGCTTACAAATTTTGGTTCTATGTATTTTATACGATAGCTCTAACAGCTGAAATGTATTATTTTATCACTTATACAGTTAGTATAGAATTTATAAAATTAAAATTAAAATTTTCTAAATTAATCAACTTTTATTTTATTTAGTATTTCTTTTATAGAAAATAAGAAAAATGCATCGATTGGTCTATAAGTAAATATACTTAAATATACTATAGTTCGGTTTAAAGAGATAAAAATGACCTTAAATATTTGAAATATCTTCACTTCCGGGCCAGCAACCCGAAGCAATATCTTGTGATATTTTTATCTGTTACTGTTTAAAAAGTATGATTTCATCCAGTAACAAGGAATGCTATAGCATACGTGACAATTTTTATAACGAATACGGCATCAATTAAAGCATATTTAATTCAGTAAGAATTAAGTAGGAAGATAATTCGTAGAAGTTGCATAAACGTAGTATTATTGGAAAACGCAAATAAAGTAACTTGTTTTGTCAGGGTAAAAGAATACATAAGAATATTCCGTAATAAAAAAAAACTTTTATTATACTTGTTTCTTCAAAATTTTATGAAGTTGTAGGAGATGGGTGTAAGAAGTATCCTTAAAACACAAAATTGGCTAATATAGATTAATTGAAGAATGTTGCAAATAAAATGTTGCGCCAATGCAACGTTGTTCCTTAAAGGATTAATGGATACTAAAACATGGTAAGAGAGTCTTTAAAGTAACGGTCTTTATTGTATAAAACAAACTTATCATTTTCAACACAGTTACATATGTGTCATATCTAACAAACTTTTTTCTCAGGTAATAATATAACATGTTGATATTTTACGATGTACAAGTAATCGATGAGGACGAGTTATTTCACACTATGAGATGTGAGACGTTTGCAGTGTATGCAGCGGGCGATAATCTGATATCGTCTGAACGTGGTATAGGTCGTTGACGGATGTCACTGTCCCCTGGCCATGCCCGACCAGGACTTCGCGGAGATACGTTCGATCTAGCTACCGTATCGACTGCTAAACTTACGGTCGTAGGATCGTTAAGGCCGTTACTTTGAATCCTTCGCTGAGCGGCTATCGAAGCTCGTAGAGTCTTTCGTTTCTGCATTTTAAAAATCGAAAGAATAGAAATTAGACAAATATAATAGGGGTATTGAAAAAAAGCTGCATTCGTTTTATTGTTTTGGCTAATTCTACTGAATTTGTATCGTAATACAGCAGTATTTCGTTAAGTAGTCATCGCTATTTTTATCCTTATTCTCTCTTAGAATTAAATTGTTAGTAGAATGAGCTTTTGGCGTTACGTTATGTAAAAAGAACAAATGTGTCATATAACTGTTAATAGAGAAGAAAAATACTAGGAATTTTCTGGAATTATACTTCCCTCGATAATTGAGCAGATAAAGTTTCATGACCAGTTAGCGAAGCACTACTGTATGAATTGTATTTGAGATTAACTATAATGATTAGAATGCGGACTTTTATGCGTGTAAGAGAAATTTAAAGGTGCGAAAATGCACACGATGCATTTGAAGATAACACAAGTCCAAGATAGAATACTTTTTCTAATATTTGATAAGAAATACAAATTTCGGCTTAGGTTCCCCTTCTTTAATTGTGCTCATAAGAATATGGATTTGCATAAATATTCGCAGTCTAATGATGATATTTTGCATATACATATATATATAGCTTAACCTTTCTGCAACGGGACTGTAAGAACTAGAGCTCCACTTTTCTTATACACACTTTTGCAAGAAAGAGTTAAAATAAACTATAAAAGGAGAAAAGTATAAAATGCTAACTGTATAAATATTTGATGCATCATAAAAGCAGCAATTATAGTGTCAAATACGACGAAGTACTTCTCGTTGCGTATTTTACACTATTTTTTTCTAAAATGCAAAATTGAATTTTACTGCCTTAACATTAAGTTAGCCTGTTTATATCTAAAGCTTGCAAAGCGTATGAATCGTTGTGCTTTAATCTAGAATGTTTGTGTTCGTTTGACAATCATGTTCTTTTAGGTGTCGTTACTGAAGTCTGTTAGAATTCCTGCGTTGCTCCCCTATTTTGTCCTGGCTGCTTGCGATTTACTGACAAACACAAAATTCTGAGGAATGGAGAACAAAAGACATCGAACGAAAGAAGTTCGATTCCAAATCCAAAATCTATAATCAAGCTTATCCTTTACCTCGATCGCACCTCTCCATTTATCAGCCGCGTGTCTCGCCAGTTCCATCTTTTTCTGCTTGCGGATCTGATGTTTTTTGTACGCTACTTCAATGATGATAAGTCCAATACCACCTATGATTCCAACACCGACCACTATGAATACTCCAGCCATATTTTTTAAGCCTAAAGTATTTGGAGCTTTCTCAAGTTGCTCGCATTGCTGTACGTTACTTCGAAGAATCCAATGGTTGTCAAGGCTTTCCATAAAACCACCTAATAGTGTAATAAATATTTAGTAACAATTATTGGCAACTTGATGTTTATTTTTATAGTACGAGACGTTAATTTATCCAATAATTCTAATTCTATTCTTTTAATGATTCTTATTAATTTTGAATATATGGTTATATATGATATATGATAATTATTTCATTATTAGTTTTTAATTATTTCAGATAATGATTTTTATTGAATTTACTTTCGTGGAAATCCAAGATAGCAAGAGTAACAGCGTCTGCCCATAAGGAACCTTTTTGCAAACCAATCCCATAACCGGAACGGCCAAATAACTCTCCAGCAGTTACCAATTCGCAGTCCTGAGCAGCTTCGAATTCTAATCGAGAACTATCCCAGATAAAAGCCATGAGTTTCCTACAAATACAATAATATCCTTAAAATCGTCAATTCTTGAACTTTAAATTTTTATGATAATCCAAATTTTATTCTTTATTTATTTTTTTTACCCAATTTTTATATCTCTGATAGCTTCTTCGGCAGTGTCGTAATTGTTCGCTTCCATTGTACGATACATATTGGATAATTCTACTTGTCGACGGAAGTACATGTCCACAGCTGAGCCCTTCACCGTGGCGCACGTAAGGTTCTCCATGGTGTTTCTAAGCTGCAAGTATATTCATGATGTTGCACAGGTAGTGTAACGTCTTCGTTACTTTGACTAAAATCGATATGTACGCTGTAGCAAAGGTAACAATAGATGTAATCGATATATTACATATACGTTTGTATACGTATGTAGAGTGATGTGTAGAGTATGTAAAGTAATACAATGAAAAATTAAAGATGTAAATCATTGTTACTACAACAGATTGTAAAATGTTTTTAATATTTTTATATTCAATATCTTTGATATGCATATAATATGATATATATTTATGTAATATAAATTGCTGTAATAACAATTTGCTGTAAATTTTAAAGTGATACTTAAGATATAAAAAACAATATTATTTTTATAATTTATTAATTTCATTCTTACTCGAGCATCGTTGATGCCAGTTAATTTAGTTTTCGGCCGTTCCAACACGAGGAAAGCAGCCAAGTTGGCAGTGTAAGAAGCAACGATAATCATTGCAAATCCTGCCCACACCATACCCAACACTCGAGCAGAAAAACTCCGTGGAGTACCTGCAAAAATAATTATGTTTATCCATAATATTTATAAAATTCAGGTAAAATCCTCATTTATAGAGATGAAACTATTTTTACGCGGCGGCATTTTCATCCATGAGTAATCAATTTAATTACACTTCAATTGACAAAAGAATGTTATAAGGCTTACTATAAATATTTTGAAGTTCAATGTTAATAATGATTGATGTCAATGTATTTTTGTAAATAATAATTTGTATAGAATTTAATTTTTTTATACGTCTGAATGAAGTGTCTTTTTATTGTTTCATGGGGAAATAATATAATTAAAATCAAACCTTCCCCGATTCCACTGTTGAGAAGTACTCCCCAGGCGAACCAAACGGCGCTGGACAGATTCAGGGCGTCCTCTTCGGTACCGTCAGTGTTTGCTAGCTTGAACCTCCCGAAAGGTGAGAACCGGTCGAGGAGGTACAAAACTAGAGCCACTACGTGTACCGACACCATCACCAGTATCCATAGAGTGTTGCTGAATGGTTGTAGAAACGACACAAGGGTTGATGATCTTGATGGCTAAACCAAAAATTCTTTTTATAATTTTATATTTTTTTAATTAATAGTTTCAATTACTGTTAACTAATTATTAACTATGAACTATGATTTATTTTAAATATTCTTTAATTATTATGATATAATTATAGTTTTAAATTAATCTTTAACCATTTTAAAATATATAACTACTTAGTTATTAATAAATATTACTAGATTATCAGTTATTGTACCTTTTTTTCAAGAATAGTGATGCCTTGATACTTGAACGGCTTGCTGAACTCGATAAATTCGGCGCGTTCCGGATTAATCGTCAAAGGAGCGACGATCATATCTGCTCTTTCATTCACCAATTCTCCGATAAGTCCTGTCCATTCTTTTTTTCCTCCAACTGAAACAAGGAATTTGTAAATTAAATACTAGTATCTGTTTCATAGTCACGTATGTTCTCATCGAAACGAGGCCTTACATCTACAACTGTTCTACCATGCTTCTACTTGTCGCACCTGAATTGTACTTGATCACATAGCTGCCAAATTGTCCATCGGGAGACAGAGCCAAACTATAGGTGAAATTAATGGTCTTTGATAATTCTTTCAACAAATCCATGCAGTATCCCTTGCAACAATATGTTTTCGTAGCTGTAAATGTTTGAAGATCTATTGTATATAATGTATAAGATATGCTATATCTTGTGATATTTAGTAAATTCTTACTTTCATGTTCTGTGACGTTAAAATGAGGGCATGGAATCTCTTCTGGAAGACATGGTTCACCGGATGTGATCTCGCGAACGTAAACAAATGGCTTTTCTTCGATAGTGAGTACTTTCAAGTGCGTAGGAATCATAAAACCTTCGGGTTTAGTTTGCAGTCGGCCAGGCCACGTTATGTTGGACTCGTTGACACTTAATGTCATTTTGGTACCATTCTACGGATAATACGAATACCAATACTAGAGAAGTAAAAAGATATCTTCAAACAATTAATTTTTTATGGAAAATATTCAATATTATAATAATATTTAAATTTTGATATAATATCAGATTAAGTAAAATATTAAATTTACTGTAAGATACTATATATAAAGATACTATATATAAAAAAGATATTATATTTAAAGAGTATATTCAAGTTATTTTAATAAGATAACTATCTATACTTTTTCAATTAATTATTTAAGGAAAACTTTTGAAGAAGGTAAATAGATTTAAGCTAAAGAGTTTTAACATCTACTTTGTTGTAAATATTTGAGGATTCTTCTGCATTTTTAATATGTAATTCTATTTATTTTTTAATCCCACTTACAGTTGGATAAAAATACTGCCCAACGGAGACCCTTTTACCATTCTCCTGGATATTAATGATGTCATATTCAGCATAAATGCGATCCCCATTATCATCGAACGCTACTTTGCCAGTCTTACCATCTGATAGTACCTCTTTGAGGATGAATCTAAAACAGAGTGGAGCACATAACAGCAAGATACCATTTGATTTATATCAATAAAAACATAATAGAAGTAAACAGTACTCGAAAAGGCTTTTGCCGGTTTCCCATATCGAGCCAGAATCTGCGCAATCCTTTGGCGCCTCCGTGATTACTTTCGACTTGTTCATTTCTCGTAAGGCGGATACAAGCACTATCCTGAAATGTATATTCTGTTAGATTGTAAAATTATGATCTATCATACATCAGAAAAATTGGAAAATTTAAAATAGTAAAATTTAAGGTATAAATTCTTCTTGATCGAACAATATCCAAATGGTAGATGTATCAATAGTCCGAGACTACTATTTTCATCAAAACCACCTATTACTCCGTGGAATGTTCATTAACTACTAGTTATGTTTATCTGAAATGGATAACAGGTTGTTTCACAGAGAGAGAGAGAGAGAGAGAGAGAGAGAGAGAGAGAGAGAGAAAGAAAAAGAGGGAAAGAGAGAGAGAGGGACAGGGCAACGTTACTCGTACACACATATCCTAAACGTTCAAAGCACATTCAGCGTTTCGCTGAACGATACGGAATATCCATTGGACAGATTGGAAGGTGTGCTAAGAGAGTATGTGATCCAGTGATCTGAAATCAGTTGTACATTGCTGTGAAATCAGGATGCGTGTTTCCTGTGCGTTGCATGCAATTTTACAATTCTACATCAGAAAAAGTTTGAATGAAGAAATGTGAGAAAGACATTTGTTTTTGTTTCTTTCTGTTTTGTTGCGAAGTATCGTAAAGATGTCCATTCAATCACTCTAATTGTAAGTCTTCTCATGCGTAGGTATCGTGTGTCCATTTATTCTCATTTTTTTTTTTTTAGGCCTTTTCAGTAGTAAGACACGAAACTACGGACGCAACATACATGCGTGGATGTCTATACGTGATTAGAAAGGAACTGACAGGCTATCGTCGATGTGAGACTTCTCTTTCTCCGCGTTAATTAATTTCAAGCCGAGAAGACCTTCCGGTGCGTTAGGCGCATCTAAGGCTTGCTCCGTCACGATCCAAACATATCCTGCACCAGTCATATTCAATGCTGCTGCGTCTTGAAAAATCACGCTTGCGTCTGTTTTTCTGTTGAAGAGTAAACAAAATTTCATTCATTTCAAAATTTCGTTCATTTATTCATTATTGTTATTTAGTATTTATTTCTCTTAACAAATAGGATAAAAGTTTAACATCTTTGTTGATAGAGCTTTGTGCGAGCTTTATATCATTTATATAATAGTGATTTGTATGTTACAATTATTTTAAATAATTTGAAAAGTTTATTGCTATACAGATTGATGTAAAGCATATTTTAACAGAAGTAATTGGTACTTACGAAGTGTACAAGAGACAAACTCTAGCTTGTGCATTTTTCATCTCCATTAACTGTTCCGTGAAGCTATCTAAACCAGGTTCAAATTCGATCACAGACTCTACCTGTTTTAAATCCATTACAATTCAATTAGAAACTAACAAACTAATTTCGTTATTGTCATAAAGTTATGTTATATGTAATTATACAACGTTGTTTTCATAGAATTATTTCTAATAGGTCTTTCAAACAAGATTAGAAAATTTCATTAGATATACCTGAACTTTAATTTCAACATCATCTTCCAAATTCTGGGAAGTCGTCTGAAATCTTCCAAGCAATGCTCGACCATCTGTATCTGAACTATGGATGAAGATCACTTTCTTATAGCTAAAGTGTTGCAATAATTCAACCCATACGTCTGCTTGATGCGAATATGGTGGTACTGTCCTTAGGAAGGAGACGTGAATGTTCTGAAAGAATACTATACTTCAGATAAATCTTGCTATTTTATGTTATTACACAATATTTTCTAGAACTCGCACCACACGTATGCTATACAGATATTTAACGTAACATGTAATACGGATAATGTGACAATGACGTAGTAAGTATTACAGACAATCTTATTTGTACAAATCCTTTGACGGACTACAATTTAACGTGTTCACTGTTGATCGTATTTTCATAACCCGTGCCGCGCCCCAATAAATGTAAAAGATTCTATTTCTATAATACGAAATTATAAGCACATATATGTCTGGTGCGAATTATTATATTTAACGAATATTATATAGTAATATTGAATATTAAACATATTGTACAAATTACAATACTCGATACTCGCCAAATATAATAATTCATACGCTAGCACAATGATATAATACTGAATATTATGTTGTACGAATTATTATTTTTTCAAAATTTCGTTACATCTAATTTTTTTTCTATATGCCAGTCGATGTCATACAAATATTATATTTTATAAGAGTACCTGACGTAATCGAATTTGCAATATACGCAGTGAATGTGTTAAATGTGCTGTATGATATTTGTTGTAATAAATTAGAAATTAAATGTTAATTAACATCGTAGATAATTTATATTTATAGTTAGTTATTTTTAATAACTAGAACAATTAATATTACATTTTATAAAAGAAAATGTATGTAAATTTTTCACTGCTTTAGAATATCTCAATAATTCTAATCAATTTTCATGTGTAGAGTAGAGATCTTCGTTATATTTGCTAATGGACTCACTTTGTCAGAGAATGCGGAATCTCTTGAAGATATACCTATAACGGGTATATGATAAAAGCCACTTGTATAAGAAACAGCAGCTGGTGACAGATCCCCTGTAAGGGGATGAGAAACTACCACCGCGTACACTTGTTCCGCTATCAAAGAGTTACACACGCTCAAAGCCGTCTTAATTGGATTGGAGTCCATTTCAATTACCGTGTGCTTATAAGTCACTCCCTTATTGACATATTGCGAGTTGAAGTTCAAAGTCTAGAAACCGGGGCAAATATGGAATTAATTATGACTCAATACTTCCTTGGAAAGTACGACGAATAAACATCTACAATTATCCTTTGACTAACTATTCGATGTTTCATTAAATAGAACAGTTAAATTTCAATTTATTGTATATTCGAACTGAACTTCTTTGCATTATAGAGATGGAATTGAATTTAAAAATTAAGATAACTTAATTAAGCTGAACTAGAATTTAATAAATTCTTAAAATGAAGCGAATTAAGTTTCAGACATAACTATTTTAAATAAGAAGTTAACTAATAAGAAGGTCTTATACAAAAAGATTAAATTATAGGAATGTTTTCATTGAATATTACTTACGTTTAGCGTTCGTTTGAAATACTCTTTGCTGTCATTATTGGAGAAAACGCCGCCGATCATAAAGAAGGTGGGATTGTTGAATTGGCTCGCGACGAGTCCATTGTGCACTTCATCGTTCAAAACAATTAAGGAAATGAACAATGCGACACCCTCGTATTTCATTATTAGAAAGTTCGATCTAGGAAAAAAAATGAATTTCAAAATGGATTTCATCGAATAACTAAAATATAAATAGGGGTAATATACAATAAAGAATTATACATACATACATAATGAACCATAAAAATTGTGGCAGTTTTTAATAATTATAATCATAATAAGAGATCTACAATTAATTATATTAACATGTCACAATAAATTTAACGTTATAACGTAAATAATTTGCAAGAACATAAATTTCAACTACATGTTATTCTTCTGAAGCAGTTTATCTCCAAAGACATTTTCTCAAAAATGAAATCTGAACGTACCGGATCAGTCTACAGTCGTTGATCGTTCACGTAATATTCAAGGATGTACGGATTGGCTGGTGATTCATTTAAAACCCGTTCACGCCCTTATCTGACAATGAGTGCACCATGAACAGACCCAGTGTTAACGTCGAGCGCGAAGGTGGATCTGAAAGACAGAAGTCGGAGATTCATTGATCCGTTTGGATGCTGCGCACAGACTTCGTCCCCACTATTGCAATATTAGGATGTTTTCCTATTTTCCAGGCAACCTTACAATTTCTTTCTGACCGTTGCAATAATCTACACTTCCCTGCTCGTTTCAAACTCCTTATTTCTTCCTTATTCTCAGGATTATTTAGATCTCGACCAAACGTGCATTTAATCTCCCAATACAACTAAAGTACAGTAGAATTTCACTTATCAAAATGAAATTTTAGTTAGTGAGACTAACTCAACTTCTGCTGATTGAATTCATTTATCTAAGTTGGTCTGAGTTCTATTTTCGTAAACGAGAAATGATAAATAGTGGGGAAAATCGATCAATTCTTATCATACAGTGGTGTGCAAAAGTTTCTGGGCAGATAGTATTTCTTTTTATATATCCTAAATATTTTTAATATTTTAAAGAATATTTTAAAGAACAGCTTAAAGATATTTTAAATAATTTTAATTAATATTGCGTAACTATACAACAGTTTGTTGTCTTTCTTACTTGGCATGTTTCGTAACCAACGTTAGTTCATATTCTTTTAGCCAAATTGCTTATTATCAAAACAATTAAGAACATCCTATAAACATACAAAATATAAACAACTAAGAATAATTTAATTCTAATTCAAAGAATAATTCTAATTCAAAGTTGTTTCTTCCATAGATTCATTGCGTAACAAGAAGAAGAAGCATTGCCAGGAGAGTTTAAAAGAACTTCCCAATGTTCGTAACAACTCGTACTATCTCCCTGGAATCAGTGTCTCTCCACCGATTAATTCCGATGACCTCCATCGTTTCTAAAGATGTTGAAATAATTGAAGCTGCAAAACGGGAAGGGACACGCGATGCAGGCCGATCGAAGATCGTCCAGGCGTAGGGACTACAGGGTGGAAATGGTCATACAAGCTAGTGGAGGCCAAGGCGGATGGAAAAGTGGGTCGACCGGCAGGACAATAAACCGATAGGCCCCTGCATTGTTTCCAAGCCACGTGGTGGTGACTACACCGCGAGATGCCAGTGCGTCAGTTGTGGCTGCATATTGATCTCGTAAGTTTCCACTCGGTGGCGACCTCCTCTGCGTGCGCACCCTTTTCACTTCGGTTATTTACCAAGCACCCTTAGACAGAGTCAGGAGAACCTTGGAGAACGTGTAAATGGTGAGAAGGAAGTCAACGGTAGATAGGTAACAACAAAGTCAAATCGGGGTGGACCGATTTTGATAAGGTGCGTGTCGAAAGACCAGGAAGATTACATTTGGAGAGTTTAAACAATAGAAAAAGAAGAATAGAGGAAAGTAGATAGAACAGAAGTTGACATCTAATAAGATAGATAGAGAAAGATATAGAAAACGACCCCAAGACATAGAGACAAGTACATAAATAGAAATATAGAGTGTTAGAAAAACGAAGATTCCGTTTTTTTATCAGAGATAAAAGAGAATCTGAAGAGGTGAAGCAGGTGAAAAGAAGACTGTTTGCCAGCAGAAGCAAACGAAGGAGAGGAAAAGCAACGTAACTCCAATGTATTACGGTCCCCCTCGCGTGAACGAATCCACGGAAATATGTCATTACCACGAGAATGGAGCCTGCAGGATTCGGTTGAGCGTGACGC